TCTCTCTCTCTCTCTCTCTCTCTCTCTCTCTCTCTCTCCATTTTTTCGTCAATGAACATAATGTGTACATGTGCGTCGTGCGTCCGAATAAACGAAGTCTTAAATCGACACAGCCACGATGAGAGACATCCTAGAGATTTGTTTGGCAATTTCTTCAAAAATTATGAAGTTAACTGTTTTGTATTTTGTTTTTCCGTTATTTTGATCTCCTGTTTGTTGTTTGTATTTCTGCGCTTGTTTGCCAACTACTTGGTCATCCTATGTTCCACCCGTGCGCACGCACGTAGCTTTTGGGCTATGTTGTGATAACGAGTGTGTGTAAATAAATAGCTGCGCTGGGAGTGGGTGGCTGGTGGGCGTTGTGATGTGACGTGTTGCCACTCCTTTTTCTTTTTAGTGTTTTTATGGTCCTAAACGATTCCCCTGGGAAGTGTGACCACTTAGGTCATTGACATTTGTTTTAATTATTTAAATGTAGGTGTTTTTACGCCCCCATCGACATAATTTAGTTCATTTAGGAGGTGGACTTCCCACCCTGCCACTTTCAGGGCCAACTCGGACAGAGAGGGATACAACATCCTAGCAGAAAGACTGAGATTCTCGATAAAACATTTTCTTCTCTTTCGGGAATCGAACTGTGATCTCCTGTATGCGACTGCAAAGCGCCTACCAGCTACACTACAAACGCTGTTTCGGCGTTTGTGATGCCATGGTCAGGGCCTTAACTTTCCTCGTAAATGGCGTTGTGGGGTTTGATACACACACTTTTGCTTTGTTTTAGAAGTAGTACCACTTTTGTTTCTAGGTCGTATTCCCACACGCAGCCCGTTTTGACCACCGATGCCTTCAGGTAGAACTTCCATCCTCCTTATTGATCGATATTAATTGTGTCAATACGGGCTTGAGACATTCACAACAATGGCACAGTACATTATCGCAATGGCTCGCCGTAAAGTACTGCAGAATCGTGTATGATCATAATAATAGTATTATCTAATAACCTTTTTTTGTCTTTTGTCTTTCTTTCCTTCAGAGACCTCAGCAGCAATGACATAAAGGTGATCAATGGCTCGGTGTTCAGAGATCTCACGGGACTGCTCACTTTGTAAGTACTCACTTGAAAACTTTTTAAAACACATTGTCTATGTTCTGTCTTGTTCAAGTTGTTGTTACCCCCCCCCCCTTTTTTTTTTTAAATTAAAGGAAGTTTTCCTACTTTATTCAATACGCGGTAATTTAATTATTTTCTTTCTTTTTATAAGTTTCCAAAATTTGCCCTACTATTCTCAACGTTGGTGATTACCGAAAGTTTTTTTTCTTTCTTTATTCACTTTCCATGGCTTAGGTGGTTATTATTAGTAGTATTTTTTCGGTCATCTTTTGCGCCTGAAAAAAAATGTTACACAGTTGCCTTCCTAAATCACTAAAACCTGCAATGCAGATACACCTCGAAGGCAATGTACTTCACGTGCAGGCTGATCGTGAAAGCAATTGGACCACGGTTTGGACGTCTTTGTTCTCTCTCTCTCTCTCTCTCTCTCTCGCCCCCTCCTCCCGCTTAATTATTAATTGCTGGCATTTGTTTCAAGTTCTTCTCGGCACGTTATTTGGATACCCGTTAAGTCCTCTTTTTGGGGTTTTTAAAAAAAATCGTAGAGCAGCTTTTATCCCTAAGTGCTCTATATTACTTTCACGTGTACATATTATACTTTACTTTTTTAAATAAGTAGCTGAGACTGAAAGGTCAGGCGTCGACTTCGCGGTGGAGTGGGGGACTGATTAAGCCGAGGCACTGATAGGCTATTGCACACACACACACGCACACACGCACACACACGCCCACACACATACACACACACACACACACACACACGCACACACACTCGCACACACACGCGCACACACATACACACACACACACACACACCACGTGAACACACCAATTCTCTTATTCTGAATGGGCATTTTTTTCTTTTCAACTTGATATGGCTGTCATTATGCCAAGGTGCTCCTCGAGTTTGTCTTTATGAATCGAAATAACTGTTGTTTTTCTCATGGTTCTTGACCTAGTGCTGTCTAGTCTGATAACCGAAGGTAACCACAAATAGACACAATTGTCCCCATATTGCTTCTATAAAAAGACAAAAAAGCACACTCAGCAATGGAAAAAAAAAAAAGAAAGTAGGACTGATAAAGTAAGAACAAGCGCTTTGCGATAGCCACGAAATAAATGCATGAACGTTATAAGTTTTGTGTATAAACAGAGAGAGAGAGAGAGAGAGAGAGAGAGA